CCTTCAAGCATTAAGTTAATTTTCGTCCCTGTTGTAAATGAAATTATGCGCTTTTGTATAAGTACATCCTACACTTAAGAGTAAAATTATTTTTATTAAATACATGTGCTTTAATAAAGAATGGGTATTTACTAATTTTCAGAAAAGTACTGGATAGTGTTTGAAGTTAGATGTGATTCAAACAGAATAAAAGAATAAAAAGAAGCTTAACAGAGAAACATCTTTGTTTATACTACGTAAAACTTTTTGTTGTTCCTAATTTCGAGTGTCTAACCAAACGAATTTGATTCATAACATAGTAATATATAAGAATATATTATCGTTCAAGGCGAAAAAATGCGTTCTATAAATTACTGTCTTCGACAAAAAGTAACTTTATTGTTAATAAAGTTTATAAGTGAAGTACATCTTTTTTTTCGAAAAGCGTACATATAACCTCAATATTATTCTTTTAATGGTATTGAAATAGGTATAGTAAGCAACCTCCATTCAAAGCTTCGGGAATAGCGAAGAAGTATAATTTATTCTTATGAAAGCTTTCCACCGTTCAAAAGCTTTTCCCAGCGTCAGTTTAACACGATTTACAGTTGCCTACACACTTTTCTACAATAAAATAGTTTTTTTTATTTTCCGCCTCCAAACTTGAAAGTGCCTTGGCCATGATAAAGATTTGATTATCTTACAAATTATGAAATATATGTTTTCTTAAAGAAATTCTGGAAAAAAAACAAATATTTGAACATGGTTTTGTCATTTTTTATAAATATTGTTCATGAAAAAAGGAAATGAAAGTAAAGATCTCACTTTCAACCCTTGTAAAGCTTTTGGGACAAAGTTGTTGGTAAAAGACAACTTTGTGTCAAAGATATAGGCTAAGAATTCTAAGAATTAAAAATGTTTACGAAGCTTAACATACTAGATTGGCCTTCAAAAATGAAATCCACTATATTAAGTGTGTTTTACATATAATTATATGAATCAGTGAGTCACTGACGCTCTTTATGAAAAATTCTGAATTTCCATTGATTTTTGAAGAATTAAGCATCTGTAAATGGAGCTACTCGTTCATAGAGATCGTCAGTGAGTCCCTAGTCGATAATCCCGGTAGAAATCCCGCGGTACTCCCTGAAAAATGCAAAATTCCGTGGAATTCCTGCGGAATTTGCGTAAAAGTCCCGCATGATTCCAGTTTTGCACGGGAGTCCCATGGGAGTTTTATTTTTTCCGGGAGTCGGGAGAATTATGCAAACTCCCGTGGGATTCTCGACACATTTTTAGCAGCAATACTATTTTACCTAGAAGAGAAGCTATTTGTTGTTTAGTCTAGATAATCATTCTGCCGTTTACTCTTCTGTCTTTACAAATATGACACATGTGCATTAGTAATTGATTATTTAAGTGAATAATCAATTACTATAATAATAATCCTAAAATGGATGCACGAGGAGGGTTTTCATTTATTTAGCTGGTGCTTTCGCGTTACTGATCAGTAGAAAGACGATTATTTGGGTAGCTAGCTCAACCACAGCGTGTTATAAAACAGTTCTTTAATATAAACCTAATACTACACTAAGTGCTCGTCGTAATCCTTGTACGTACAGGTTTATGAAGCACCAGGCGACGAACTACTTATTCTGATTCTTCACGATTCTATGTTGCTGAAATCGCGTTGTTTTGGAAAAATAGAATTCTCCTAAGTAACATCCTACGGCGTATTATTTTTCATAGATAACACAAGTGTCATGGATTTACCCAGTCACGCCCGGAAGCAACATTGTCATCGTCTTCGAACACAAAATATTCGCTCGGTGAACGAAATTAACTCTACAACAGCATCAATAACAACAAGCAATAATAGTGATAATGATAACAATGGTGATGATCTGAATGCAATGGACGTCGAGCAAGAGGATGCTACTTGTCCTGACGAAGATTCCAAACCGAAAGATATTTTGAACATCTGGATCAAAGCAACGATGATCATGATAGTTCATTAGCAGCTGATAGTGATTGCGATTGTAGTACAAATTCTACTTCTTTTGATGACCCAGAATCAGAAAACGCACCTGAGGCACAGTTGTTATACGAGGATGGCACACTAACGTTGAATAATGCTAACAAAAGGACAAGAACATTCGTTATTAAATCTAATTTAGCATTCACACATGTATTATTTTTAATATCGTTATTACTTTATTTGCTACCTGATGGTCATGCGTTAACACGATCGGGTATTGTAAATTTTCTCAGAAAAAGAGAAAACTTCGTTTATGAAACGTTATGTGTTCTTTGTAATGAACATATAGACCCACCCGTTGGTAATTGTCAAGTCAATTGTTCATTAAATGGTAGAGCCCGTACCATTGATGGTTATACTGAATTTTGTCACTGTGATTTAAAATATCAAGAATATTGTGGCGAGAAATTTGAATTTAATAATCAATTATCCACATAGTGCTCATACATTATTACCTAATGATGTAATTAATGGTTCCAGTTACAAACACTTACTTAGAAACGTGAAATGTAATTAAGTAACGTTAATGATTCATACCGATGGTATGAATATTGTCACAACAAAGTTAAAAAAATTTTATGTTGTGACAGGTACAGTTATTGAGATACCTCCCCCGCTTCGTGAATATTCAAAGAATAAACTTCTTTTTTCTTTATATTTATCTGAGAATGAACCAACAGCAAAATTATTGTTTAGTCGCTTAGTAGCTGAATTAAAACAAATTATTAATAGAAATTATTTTACCGTTGCAAACAATAAATTTCAATTGAGATTTCAAGCACTGAAAGCTGATTTACGGTGTAGAGCATTATGTTTATATTTAAAGCAGCATAACGGATGTGAGTAAAATGTATTTTTCAAAGAAACCCTATTATTTTTTTTACGATAGATTATGCGTGCAGCAACTGTTTTCAACGTGCAAAAGTGTTAGGAGATCGGAATAATATTGTTTATTATCGATATGAACAAAATCAGCAACACCGTACTCATCGTCAGTTCATGGCTGCGTCTCATCAAGCTCAACTCAATAACGGTCAATAGTCAATAGAAGGTATACATGGTAAAACACCACTTTTGGAATTATCGTTCAATATACAATCTAATTTTCTATTCGATTACATGCATTTGTGTTGCAGGTGACACACATACGGTTGCTGTTTATGCTGAATAATTAATTTTTGTTTAGTGGACACATGTCATTTTTGCTGAATCAGTGGATTGATAAATTCAGTACTCCTCAAATGTCAACATTTATTGAAGAGGTAATAATACCGAACAATACTTCGTTAACAATTCGCTCAAGTGGTGGAAATCAAAAGAATACTATTTTTTGCTATTATACGGTGCATTTCCGATGATTCTTCTTCATGGTTCCGACGAAATATATAATTCATCGTTATATATAACCCCCCCCCCCACCCCAAAAAAAAACCGCGCGCCCGGGCAAAATCAGGGGAGCGGGA